TGTCCTGAAAGGTAAGCTCAGTCAGCCTGTATGCAGATGTGTTTCAACTGACCTTAAAACTGCGCAAATTGGAATTTCCAAGATAAATTTATTTAATGGAAACACGGCAATTTTGGGGGGGAAAAAACTCCCCTTTTTCGACAAAAGGTTTTAGGATGAAGTGGCTTTTCGGCCGTATCGAAAGTTGTGTGTTTCATTAGAAATACTTTTTTTGCACCACACAAATCGTGTGTTGACGAAAAGAATGAAGAAGATGGCAGGAAGTGTTAGGCGAATGATGGCGCCGCATGTTTTTGAATGACTTATCACGTGAGCAAACTTATTCACGTGATTTTAACTGTACTTCTTGTTTAGTAGAGACACCGCAGTTGGGAAATTTAGTGGTTTCGATGAAACCGGAACATCAACAAAGTTTTGCGCACATTTTGTAATGGAAACTCAATTGGTGTTCTCCTTGGTCTTGCTTAGAGCATGTTGTGTGACCTGTTAGCGACTTCCCTGTTAGGAATACGGTTAAAATTAAAACTTTGCTTGTTTGTCAAATGTTCGACAATTGGTTTGTCTTGACTCGCGTTGCACAGAACATCTAAGCATGTAATTAGTGTGGTGTAGTGTTGCATGAAGCCGTATGCAGAGTAATTATGTTGGCTGTTTAAGACCCGGACAGCGAGGTCAGGCCTGGCTCAGAGGAACGGATTACAGAGGAGAAAGGCCACTATTTAACACCAACCTTGGAGCCTCTCTGGACCTTCGTCAGCCCCCTGACCAGAGGACACAACATCACCTGCATGACATGGAACAAGAAGAACCCAGTAACACAGCCACACTTTGAAAACAGAAAATCTGATCGCCAACAGTTATTGTCTTAATTTCATGGTGTAGATTCTTGTCTTTATTCAACCAATTCCCAAATAAGTGAAGAAGATAATGGTTTAAAGAGATAAAACCACACATTGTTGACAACTCTTATGTGCCCTGACTTCTCTGTAAGGACATCCTGGCCGTAGGCTACGTAGGCGGGTCTTCAGGCAACCCACAACCAGGCCTCATTTGCTGCTGGTCTCTAAAAAACCTTGTGGTATGTTGCTCTGTTTGTGTAGCAATAAATTCAATATTTTTTTTTCTGTAATAGATAAAAAGAAAAACCCTCATTACTTAAATTTGTGTTTCATGCACAGTGGTCGGAGCGAGTGTTTTCCTGCCATAGCAGTGTGACGTGCCTGGAGTTTTCTTCCAGCAACCCCAGTCATCTGGCCATAGGGATGTACGACGGCTCCGTCGCCATCTACAATGTTCAGGTCGGAGACGACACGGCATGCATCGCCAACAGCCGGTGAGAGCAACGCTGCAACGGGCGTTAAAACATGAGAACGTTAAAGCTGCGGTATGCAGCTTTTACAAACATATGCTTTTTTCCAGATTTGTTCAAACTGTCACCATGTCGTGACAGTGTGACGTGAAACAGACAGTCTGAGAAAAAATTAACCTCATAGCGCTACTTCTGGGGTCTGCAAAAATGCATAGATATCCATCAAAAACAACCAATCAGAGCCGGGGGGAGTGTCTCATTGCTGTCAATCATGCTTATGTATGCACTGGAAAATGTGTTAATGTCAGAGAAACAACTTAACGTTACAGGAAAACTATTGATCCGCCGTCATCGGTGGAAACGCTAACTAGCCTTAGCGTTCGTAGCAGACTGTGCTGTGGTGAAGCAGCTGTAGCGTAGCAGAGAGTCCCTGTATGTGAACGGCGCAAATACAAGAGTTTGTTTGCCTAGGAAGTCCGGTTCATCTAGTGAGGTGTTAATAACTCTCATGCTGACCAAAAAATCGAACTCTGGTCCACCTAAAAACCTCGGTCTCAGTTCGGTTGATGTGAACTTTGGTGCTAAACGGACTAGAGACCCCTCCAAAGGGAGTGGCACTGGGCATTCTGGGTAAATACAATCAAAACAAACGCAAGAGTCTATCGCTAGTGGGAGAAATAGAAGGAAGTTGTGCTCAGTGTCTTCTTTGTGTCATTTTCTTCAGTGGTTCTTGGTGCAGCGCCACCACAGGCAAAGAGGTGAACATGTTTTTCAATTAGCTTGAATCATTTGGCACCAAATCTAACAGACTATCAGCTGTGAAAAGTTAAGAACTGCTTATTTATGAATTAATTTTTTTTGACTGTTTTCTTTCGTAGTGACTGTGCTAAGAGGCACACGCAACCGGTGTGGCAGGTCACCTGGACCAAACAACAGCTGCAGCTATCGGGGGAAGAACGAGAAGAAGTCCTAGTGTCGGTATCAGGAGATGGCAGGATTACCAAGTGGCTCATCCTGCACAATGATTTCAACTGCGTAGGTAATAAACCCCACAGACTACAGGCTCAAAGCACGGGAGTGTAATCTTTACTATCTAAGCTTTGTTTTGTCAGTGCAATCTTTTTGTTATGTAAAGTAGCCACATAATACAGCATTGACAATGTTCTATTATCCAAATTTACCCTTTCATTTCT